TTTATTTATTTATTTATTTATTTATTTATTTATTTATTTATTTATTTATTTATAGGAAGTTTTAAAGGATAACAGTACTTGTGTCGGAACATCTTAAATAACATTTCATTGGTTATATAACCTGACCTAACTGCATTGTTTGATAACTTTTAATCTCATATTCTAATAAGATGTCTTATGGTACTTATTTCATAAGTAAGTAATATATCCCTCAGAAGATAAAACTCTTCATTAATACTTCATTTCTAATTCTTTTTTTACTCAAAGGAAGAATTTTTCTATTACCTGAAGATAATTTTTTATTTATATGGTGTATGTTGTCGGAATATATTTTCAATGCACATCAAAAATTAACTTCACAAAATTGAAAAAGTTCTTCCTTTTAATAAAAGAATAATTAAAATTTCTTTTAATTATAACAACTTTACAAAGGTAGTTAATATCAATAGATTTAAGGAAGTGACTACTTGTCTTTTGAGAAGTATGCCTGTCAATACTGTAATTTAGTGGAAACACACATAATAAATAATTAAAATATTCATACATACATGAAGGATTCAGTAATAACAAGAAAAGACTGAATGCAAAGATTACTTATCTTGCAAAAAATAATAGAAAACATCCCTCCATGTTTGTAGCAAAAATACATAAATAAATTTATGAAATTAATTTTAGAATATGATTAAAGATATTAAGATAAAAATTAAATTACATATAATCCAGTTATGACTACTACTTACTGTACATGATTTACTCTAACTCCCATCACCAACAAACAATTACAGAACCACATGATTTCTAAACTATTGTACGCAATATTTATTTTCAGAGAGATATAGTACATTCACATCCATAGACACAAACACATGGCAAATTAGATTTCTTTTTAAAAAATGCTAACAATCATCTGGTACCAGACCCCACTCCTCACCCAAAAAACTCAAACTTGAGTTTTAGCAGTTTTCTTTAGTTCTAATGCTGCACATTACATTCTTTTTTCAATTCCCTATGAATGAAGTCACTATTTGAAAGCCATCTGGATTTTTAATATACAAGTTGCTGCTGTTAAAGATCTGAAGCATAAAAATGTACCTACCTATATCTCATCTCAAAAATGTTTATTAAAGCTTTTTTTACCAATCCTGGTAGTATGTAGCTCTTGAGAAACTTGTAAACATACAAATACGAATAATTATAATAATAGTAGTAAAAAATACATTTCGAGAAGCCAAGATTAGCTTAATAATAATATATATTCACTATTTCACCAGGAATATAACCACTCACTTGCGCTAGTCGGAATAATCTAAATGTACAACTTGCCACTGCACCAGACAAGAATAAATGTTGTCAAGTATTTTCAACCTTGTTTCATGGGCAACTATATTCCTATTAATTGCTCACCATGTAAAATAAGGCAAATTCAATTCAATATTAATTAGAAATATCAGAGGGTGCTGGAATGGGACCATCAAGGGGAACTTTTTCATTATGACATCCTGAATATTTATTATTACTGCAATCTCTGAAGTCTCCTTTCTTATTCAACTCCACACTCCTATATTCTTTGAAGTATGAGCCACATAATTATCCCAAATATAGCAGTGTTCAGAATAAATAAGTATGTTATATTAGTCATTCTGCAAAATATCTCAATGAAATATTTTTATATTCATTTGCTTCTCCACAGTAATCAGTTTTAGTTCTTCCTTTAATTTTTTGTTGCTTTGTGATAGAAAGTGGTATCATGATGACACTGATATCTTTTACACTGGCTCCACATCAACTCAATAGTATTTTAGTGACAATAGTGGGAGAGGAGAGACAGAACTCAATGACCAGCTTCTTCTATCATTGCATCCTTCCCACCTACTAATATTTCTCAAATAATAAGAATATTGACAAACAATACATTAAAAAAATTGTGTTATTCTATGCTTTAATTCAACAAAATGTATGCTTATTTCAGTGAGGAACTTTTTCTAAACAAGTTTCAGAAGCTTTTATACATTCTATTAGCAAACTTTATTTTCCAATTAAAATTGTATTACTGATTTAACTAAAAGATCATTGAATGAATTTAATACATGTTTTACTCAACTCTTTATAGTGATGTAAATAATGTTGAAACTACTTCTGTGACTGAATTGTATAGTAGCAATAGCTGTTTTATAATCAATTATTTTAAAAAAGGATGAAATGCATTTTATAAATCAGTCTTTGTCACATTCTTAAAAGAACCATTGTTGAAAAATTTGCTCACCAGCCCAGAATGAACAGTTGCATTGTCCATTACATAAATGAATGTTTTTAACAATCAAGGTACAAATCGTCCATCCACTTCTGAAACACCTCTGCTGTCATAGTGTCATAATACTAATTGATTTCTTTTGACTCTGATAGAATAATAAGTATGCATCTTTAATGAAACCACCTGTATTTAAGAATATATTGTTTCCCTTACTAACTAAACTTTTGCTTAAGCAGCACTTTCTACTCTTATCTTGTGATGAACGAGAGGCAAAAGGTAGATTATTAAAAACTAGAATGATCTATCAAAATAAAAGTACATTAAAACACAAAGTAGATGCTTCAAGCAAGACTAGCATCATCATTTCACATGCTGATCTAATTCCAAGCTTACAAATATAAACATAATCATGCCTTATACCTTCACTTATTTGTCCCACTTTATATCTTTCAATTGTAAAAAACTTAGTAGACGTTTTGCTTGCTCTCCGAACGAACCATATCACGGAGCAGACGAAAGGCCCGCCAAATAAACACAATTCCTGCTAGTTGAACTTCTCATTTCTGCAGTGAAGCCTCCAAATATAAACTAAATACAGCGTACAGAAAATATTAACTTTTATCTTGATTATAGTTTCAAAATATTTTCACATTATAACAAAATATTTTTTTCGAGAACTTTCCTTTAGAGGAATGACAATACAGTAGGTGGTTTCACGACTCTACAAGTTGGCCAACGTTTGTGGAACAAAAACGAATAATTTCTACGTGTTAATCACCGACCACGCCCCCTGGCACGAACATCGTGGTGTGGCAACAATAGCTGTCAAAAAAAATAGTCACATGACTGAACGCTCTGTGCACGATGGCGAAACTTATATGGTGCTTCAGTGACGTCACTATGGGGACGTTAAAGCTCCCAATTAGATGAAACAGTGAACAGCTTAGTTACGTCAAGTGCATGGTTAAATAAATCCTAGTACAGGCCTACAACAAATTTGCACCAAGAAATGCGTTGCATGGTGCAAATACATGGGTGCTGAAGGGCCTCTTGCGCATCGTATCCGAATTCAGACACAAATTTGCGTCATAGTTATGACAGGAATTTTAAATGCAGCCAGATACCAAAATTATCACCACGTTACAAGACTTGAATTGAAACAGATTTATAAGCATTTCTTTTAAATATTGCATCTTGTATACCTTCATTGTGTTATTTTTGGTTGGTTACCGTTAAAAAATATCACTTTGTCCAACTCAAAATGTTTCTCAACTTCTCGCTCTCCATGCAAAATTCCAGCGTTTAGTCTGGCTTTTCCAAGGTATAATATATTATAACCTGAGAGCGCAGGCTTCCGCGGCCGGAGTCGGTATTTAATTGGCTGTCCGGGTGACGCCGCGTCCATGGCCATGGCAAAGGTGCCGACGTTTCGGTCGCCATTCTGTTATCTTCCTCAGGGCGTATTGCATTACGGCCTGAGGAAGGTCGCAGAATTGCGAGCGAAACGTCAGCACCTTTGCCATGGAAGCGGCGTCACCCAGACAGCCAATTAAATATTATAACCTCATTGGGCTTTTCAAATGTAGTGCACGTGCTGTGGTCACATGATTGCGCAGAACGTTGCAACTGGTTGCGCAATACGAGCCAATATACTCTTTGGTACGAGCAAACATCGCGCCGGAGTAACTCACCCATGTATAGAAGAATTTTCTTAAGAATATTTCCACGATGCATGAGTGGTATTATCAAATAGTATAAAAGATAACAGTAGCAGTTCATATATGACTCGTCATACACGATTGTAATAGTATATGTGACTCAATAAATATTATTATTATTATTATTATTATTATTATTATTATTATTATTATTATTATTATTAGAAATCGTCGCATGTTTTGGTAACAGAAACAGCGCTCAGCTGGATTTACGAATGTGAGAGAGAATAGTTGTGTACAAGCAAACAGAGTGTGTTGTGTCTAGTATTTGTCAGGCACACGTTGTATTATTTGTGAAATATTCGTTTTTGTATCAATGACAGGGAGGAGTTGCGTTTGTAGCATCTACGGATAAGGTAATTTCAAACTGCAAAGGGTTCGCAAATCAGTTAACCCATTTCTTCCCAATGTTGCGTGAACGCAACGCTAGGTTCATGATTTCTTTCCTACGGTACTATTTTAACATTGCACTTGCGAATTTTTACACCATACATTTAATTCATTGTGATTCGTAAATATATTTTTATTTTAGTAAACAATATATTGGTACTGACTTATTTTTTTTCTTCGGGGTGTGAAGAGTAATTAACTACATGAGGTTACTAATTTTTTTCTTTTAAAATTGATGAACTGTGAAGCAGTTTATAATGATAGTGGGAAGTATGTGTTATATATAAATACAAGTTTTAAAGTTTGAATGAGAAGTGATTCATGAAACGGATGTTGTAGGTAAATAAATATCGTGATGCGTTCACGCACGTTGGGAGTTTTCCGGTAGACCTGTGATGCGCCAGATCCAATACTCGCCAGTTCCTAGAACCCTATAATTGGAAAGGGTATTTGACACTACGATATTCTGCCGTGTAAGAAGTTTCTGTCACCGAAATTTTAAGATAAGAACGTGTCCAATCTATTCGTAGACTCTTCTGGGAATTGAAAACAAAACGGATCGTCTACGAAAGCTTCTCTCTTTTGCTTTGAGGCAGTAGTGCGCATACTTACTACCTCTATGGTAGTGTGCATGCTTTCGGAGACGCAAAACATTCAGTGTTGCCATATCGGCGGAATTACCGCCGTTTTCAGCTGATTTTGAATTCGTACGGGGGAAAAAAAATAGTTTCGCGGAAAGCGGAATAAACAGCGGAAATTAATAAAGACGGTGGAAAATAAGCGGAATTTCAAATCTTCACTATTAAGGCCTGGACATATATAGAGTATTCGAGCAGAAACATTTTAAAATAATAATAAAAGACAGATAATTCAGTCTACATAAGTGCGTCATTTATTATTATTGACTAGGCTGTCCGGGTGATGCCGCGTCCATGGCGAAGGTATCGACGTTTCGGTCGCCATTCTGCGACCTTCCTCAGGGCGTAATGCACATTACGTCCTAAGGAAGGTCGCAGAATGGCGACTGAAACGTCGGCACCTTCGCCACGGACGCGGCGTCACCCGGACAGCCTAGTAAATACTGACTCCGGCCG